TGCTCTGTGTTGTGTGTGTATTTGTTTGTTCACTACTCACTGCTCTGTGTGTGTGTTTGTTTGTTCACTACTCACTGCTCTGTGTGTGCACTTGGATGGGTTAAATGCAGAGCACAAATTCCGAGTTTGGAACAAAAAAATTATTTCAGCCTTCATGCGATAAGATTTGTTTTAGTTTTTTAAAATATGAACATTTAGTTGGTTTAGAAGAATCCATGTCTGCTGTTGAGAAGAGCTGCTGTTGAGTCTCATATCAGTGTGTGTGAGTGTCGTGGAGTTTGTGTTCATCTGAGTGTGACGGAGGTTTTTGTACGACGCTTTCAGTAGAATGAAGCACTGTGGTACACTTTTGGTGGAGGAACTAAACTGACCATCAGTAAGTCTCTTCAATTCTGTCACAAAAATGTATATTTGATTCATTCATTTTCAGATTATTTCAGCAAAAAATTGTCAAAATTATTCATTTATTATTAAAAATATAATTTTGTAAAGTTTCTTTAATAATTGCAATATTTCATTTATTTCATCATTTACTTAAGTTGTATATTTCGTATTGTTTTTAAATCTCATTCATCATTTTACATGAATAATTTAACTTATTATCTGTGAAATATTATTGTATCTTTAGATGTCAGTAATTTATGATATATTTAATTATTTCTTGATTTTTATATAATTTTGTCTACAATTAATGGTAAATTGAACATTTAAGGGTTTTTACATGCATGAAAAAAGTTTGATAATAGTTTATGTAATTGTGTAGGCGTAGTCACCAGACAAAGATAAATTTAGTTAATGAGCATGTTAAAAATCAGTCATTTAAACTATTAAGTTTGCTGCTGCTGCTGCTGCTGCTGATCATTTAAAAAAACATCATAACAGAAATTTAAAATTGCGCTGAAAATTTGATTGTTAGTGTCAAAATAAAATAATATTTTTTTTAAAAAACAAATAATATTGCAATTATTTACATTTGGTTTCTGTATCTTATGACGAAATCACAATATGAAAAAATTATTTTTCATGTAGACAATGATTTTATTAGATTGAGATTAAAAATGTACATGTTCTGTAATTTACTAATTCTGAAATGAATCTAATTAGTATATATTTTTTTCATTTATTTCATCCCTTATTTACATTTTATAATTTATATTGTTTTTAAATGTCATTTTTAATTTTATATGAATAATTACATGCAATTACAAGTACCGATAGCAGTACTTTAAAATCTATTTTAATTATTTCTTAATATATATGATTTTGTCTATAATTCTTTGCAAATTTAACAATAAAGGGTTTGTCATCAGACAACAAGGAACTTGAAGAGCATTTTGAAAATTAATCATTTAAACTATTTAAACTATCAAGTTTGCTGATATTTATGATCGTGAGTCTGAATAGCATGAATATTTCAAAAGTACAATTAATATTGAAATGATCATTATTTTTTTTCTAAGTCAAATAGCGACATCACTATATAATCATCAATTTTCTTGAATAATGTTTTTTCAAAATTCTGAGGATTATTTCAAATGTATCTTATAAAATTAAAGTCAAATTATCAGTTTTTCATTTCTGTTCTGTTGTGTGTGTTTGTGTGTTTCAGCTGGTCCCGCAGTGAAGCCCTCCGTGTCTCTGCTGCCTCCCTCTTCTCTGCAGATCTCTGGAGACTCAGCCGCACTGCTCTGCCTGCTCAGCTCTTACTCTCCACAGGGGGCGCAGGTGAGCTGGATGCTGGACGGGTCAGAGGTCACCGAGGGGGTTCAGACCAGCGCAGAGAGCGAGCGGGACGGACGCTACAGCCGCAGCAGCGTCCTGAGCCTCAGCAAAGCACGCTGGGAAGACGGCGAGCGCTTCGTCTGCAGAGTAACACATGACGGAGCTGATCACGAGACCTCGTTCCTCAAGAGCTCCGAGTGCTGATGTTTCTCCAGTGAAGAGCAGCAGGATTCACAGCAGTCTCCTGATTTACAGCTCAATACTCAAGCAGTCTTTCAATGTGCTGCCATTGCTGTTCATTCAATAAAGCTTCTGAACGCCTTACATTTGTGTTCGACTGCATCATTGATCAGTGTGTCCTTCCTTCACTAAAGTTTCAGCTGCTGCTGGATTGTAATAGTTGAGAACAGCTGTGTTTAGCAGTAAATGTGAACTGAAGCTCTTGGGGTTTGAACATGGTCTCTGGAGACAGAGCTGCTCTATTCTGAGACGATCAGAATCACTAAAGCTGCCAATGCAAATCTGATTTTCAGCTCAAACTCACAGTTTCACTGTTTGATCGGTTAAACGCTCTGAACTGAAACAGTTTAATTTCTGCTCATGAGAAATTAGTTATGAATAATAAATTAATTATCAACTTGAGATGGATATATACTTCAAAAACCGCTCAAGAACATATTTTTTTGCTGGTGATTCACAATGACTTTTCTATATGTCTTTAAAATTAGATATGAGTGTATCATAATGTAAAAAATCAAAACAACATGGTGCAGTTATTGGCTGCAGATCACAGTCTAATAGAGCTGATTTGACTCCTAACTCAGTTTTGAGCTCATGTGTAGTTCTGTGTTTGGTCTCTGTGTGTCAGTAGTGTGTGATAGTGTTTGAGCAGCTGCAGCATCAGTTCATCACTGTGACTCTGACTGACGGAGGTTTTTGTACCACTCTTTATCACTGTGTGAACACCCAGCTACTGCTGATATAGTGAGCACTCTGACAGTAATAATGTCCAGCATCTTCAGTCTGGACTCCACTGATGGTCAGAGTGAAATCACTGTTAGATCCACTGCCACTGAATCTAGATGGAGTTCCACTGTAACGGTCTATTGTTAGATAAATCAGGAGTTTAGGAGCTTCTCCAGGTTTCTGTAAATACCAGCTTAAATAGTAACGTGGCGCACTATATTCTGCTACATCTGTGCTGGTTCTACAGTTGATTTTGACTGTTTCTTCTGGTTGAGCTGCTGTCGTTGAGGGACTCTGAGTGACGCTGATCTGTCCTCTACTCTCTGAAACACACAACAAGAAGAAAATCAACTCAAAACTCTGACAATATACTTGAAGAAATGAATTCATATCAAACTTGTGCTCCACAAACCTTGAGCAAACGCTGTGAGAGTCCAGATGAAGATGATGATGAAGGTCATGTTGATGAAGATTGTTGTGTGTGTCAGTGATGAAGTGTTAAACTCACAGCACTATAAACACTCTCAGAGCACTGAAGCATCTGATCAATATGCAAACACTCTCCACATCATTTACCCGAAGCCAGTCACTCATTACAGTTTTTTACAATCATTTTTGCTCTAATAACAGAACCTTCATATATTTTTCAAAACTCTAGACACAAAACTCAAAACAGTTATTATTTGTAACACAGGCTGTCCACTGTTCAAAACTTTGCGTATTGTGTTCATATCTTTAAAGAAGCCTTGCATTTTCAGAAGCATTGGTTAAAAAAAACTCATGTATTATGAAATATCATAGGAACATTACTTTAGATCACCCACACACAATATACCTATAGTTTCACTGTGTAGTTTTTAGTACAATCATTAAATATAGTTGTTCAAAACACATGATGCATCTTTCATTATGGTTCTACACATTCATACACCATTGTGTATTATGTGTCTAGAGTTTTGAAAAATGACATGAAGGTTCTGTTATTAGTGCAAAAATAACAGACACAAAATACAATTACTGAAATGAGGAAAAAATGAATCTTTTTCATAATATCTTCTAATAGCCAACCTGTTATAAATTATATCAGATCATTCACTTACGAATAAATCTTAAAGGCTTTACAAAAGTACAAAACTTTAGTTTATTATCCTGACTCTCTCCTGTGAGACTTTGAGAATATTTTTGACTGTAGCTGGATAGAAACGACTGTTAATCCCTACATTTTATGCCAAATCTATGGATGTTCCTGCAGGTTTTTACAGACATGAGGATCATCACACGTGTCTCTGTCAATCACTGAATCAACTGAGTTTGATTGTGAGTCACGTCACATTTGATATAACAATTTCATAAATTCAGTTTCATGCTTTAGTAATAATTCAGACTGCATAAAGCAGATGAAGTAACTGAAGGTGATGTCTGCTGTGAGTGGATGTGTTTGTTGGAGACTCAGTTGATGTGTGTTTGGGCAGTTAGTGAAGCGGTCAGGAGGTTTTTGTTCAGCTGCTCTATTAGTTTCTATCACTGTGGTGGACTTTCGGCAGCGGCACCAAACTGGATGTTGGCAGTAAGTAAATCATCATTTAATATTATTAATACAGCAACTGACTGTTAAACACTCTGTGGCTCTATAGAAAGGATGTACATTTTCGCTTATTTATATATCTTAATTTTATTTTTTAGTTCACTCTGAATGTTTGACAATCAACCTCAACTTAAATTTTCAGATTATTGTGTTGATTTTTAAGTAAAACCTGCAGATATTTTAAAACTGAAAATAATGTTTCCTTAGTTGTATTTTCTTTAATTATATATATTTAATAGGTTAATAATTCACAGTAGACATGCCAGACAAAAGTTATATTTTCTGTACTTTAAAAAAACATTTGCACCCAATCTTCTCATGCTGTCATCACAAACTGTAATGAACTCCTGCAGTTATTATATTTACTCACATCTGATCTTTGATTCTTTTTTAATAAAAGCTTGCTTCAGTTCAACATTGAAGTTGATAACGAAAATTACACTTTGAATCAATATAGGGTACAACGAGGCTAAAGGCTAAAATGTATAATTGCAGAAAAAATGTTTGTATTGAACATAAATGGAGCAACAGATTTAGTTTGAAAATAAATCATACAAGTCCTTTATTTTGTTTAAAAATCTTATAAATGTATGAGCTGACCTTTTACCCCACACACGGCAGAAGGCACACACTATTGATATAAATACTTCAGCTAAAATAATGTTTTTTAATAATGTCTAAGTTAATACTTGTTCAAAAACAATCCCTTTAGCAAAGTTTGTACTATTTTCTGCTTATCTTGAAAAATAAAATAATAAATTTTTGTTCAATAAATATACTGTCATTAAAATATGTTAATATAGAAAATATACATTTTAAAATACAGAAACAAAAAAGATTCTGAAAGCATTGAAGGAGATCCCATAATAATTTAATATAGACTTACAGTAGGCTAGTAACAACAAATTATATTTTATTATATGATATGATTAATATAATGTTTTTAAACATGATGGTTTCATTCTAAATGGTGATTTTATCTCTAATATGGACACCCAACATAATATATGATATTTACCATCTGAATCTAACCATGTCATGTCAACAAATGGAAAAGTTAGTTACTGTGCCTTTAGCCCCAACAGCAGGGGTGCTTTTTTACCCTAAATACCATATTTTTACATATTCTTTCATTATTTAAAAACTGTTGCTTTAATTATCTCAAACAAACAACCACTTTGATTTTACTTGAAAATTTTAATCAGTAATTAAACTTACATTTTCAGATTAATGTGTTGAGTAAATGCTGCAGATATTTTCAAACTGGAAATTATGGTTGCTTAATTGTATTTTTGTTCATATTTGATAGGTTAATAATTTATAGTAGACATGCCAGACAAAAGTATATTTTCTGTTTTTTTTTTTACTTTTTTCAAACATTTTTACCCAATTTTCTCACGCTGTTATCAAAAATTGTGATAAATTCCTGCGTTATTATGTTTATTTATATCTGATCTTTGATGCTTTTAATAAAATTGACTAGTATTGACGTTGATCATCAAAATGACTCAAATAAATGTATTTCACCAAACTTTCATTACTTTGCTGATCGCCGGCTTTGCAAAAATTAATTCAGGTGACTTGCAGTTTAATGTTGCTAAAATAACCAATAAAAGCTATCACTGTATTAATTGTTTGTATATTTTTCTGAAGCTGAAAGGAGAGAAATGCTTTCTTCTTCACTGAGTTGACACTTGTGTGTTTGTCAGGCGTCACTCGTCCTAAAGTGAGCGTCCTGCCGCCCTCCAGTGCAGAGATCTCCTCAAAGAAGACAGCGACACTGGTGTGTGTGGCCAGCAAGGGCTTCCCGTCAGACTGGAGCCTGAGCTGGAAGGTGGACGGGAGCAGCAGGTCTCAGGAGAGCAGCGCTGGGCTCCTGGAGAAGGACGGTCTGTACAGCTGGAGCAGCAGCCTGACTCTCTCTGAGCAGGAGTGGATGGAGAGCGTCTCAGTGAGCTGTGAGGCCACACGGAGCGGCCAGCCTGCGCTCACTGGACACGTGACGAGACAGCAGTGTTCAGAGTAGATCTGCTGCTCTTCTCACTCATGTCTCACATGGAGACTAACAGCACATGAGCGACTCCTTCATTCTCCACATCCAGCTTCAGTCGCTCGCATCTGCATCTGCTCTGCTTTGTGTGCTTCATACAAGACTATATGTGTGATTTATCATTCTGTCATGATTTTATTACAGTTCAGTCAATAAATAAAACTGTAGCTTCATGTCTTTGAGTCTTTTTGTGTCATTTTCATTTCAGGTCTTTCGTTGGTTCAAAGCTTTAGCTCACATTTTATAAATAAACTTCACTCAGTGGAGCATGAAAACACCTGCAGATTTATGATGAAACAAACATGCGGCCAAATTATGAACCTCACAAATAAAATTTTAGATAACTTTAATAAGATAAAGTATTGTACAATTAAGTATGTATCATGTTAAAAACTCAAATAAATGATTTATATTTCATTCAGTGTTTATAAAAATCATCTTTGTTGAGTGAGTGATAGTGTTTGAGCAGCTGCAGCATCAGTTCATCACTGTGACTGACTGACGGAGGTTTTTCAGCCTTGAATATGCTGTTTCACTTGTCTCTTGTTTGTCTTTTTCAGTCATCTGTCATCTGCTCTGCTTTTTGCATTTTATTGATTTCATTAAAATTCAATAAAAATGTAACTTCGAATGCATTTGTCTTGTTTTCATTTAACAAGATCTTTCATTGGATCAGGACTTTAGCTCACATTTTATAAATGAACTTCATTCACGGAGCAACACCTGCAGATTCATGATGAAACAAGAACACATGGCTGTTAAGGCCTGTGTTTTTCAGACCACAACAATAACGCACTGGTAAAGAAACCCAAAAAGAATCAAACTTAAAGTAAATGAACTAAAACTGTCAGTTCTGAAGGGTGCTGTGACACACAAAACCAAATACTTGAGAGTCACTACAGACTCAAACCAGAAAAACACTAATTAAATTAGTGAATTTACCACAGAGAGGAAAAACAGACAGCAAATAATAATCAAGAGTCGATAGAGAAACACATTAAACAGGCTGACAGCAGCTGCTCCATCAAAAGCCTCTCTGCTGCTCATCACAGAACACTGAGATTTAAACTCAGTCATCACTGCAGCCTTCTGATTGGTGCAGAGGAGGAGTGAGAGATTCATTATAAGCTTGAGATGAAGTAACTCATTTAAAAAGGCTCAAAACATCTTTGTGTTGCTGGTGATTTACAATAACTTTACAGTGTAGCTTAATGTACAAAAACATGATACCGTTATTGTTTGTTTGATTTGAAATCAATGTACACACTCCGTTTTCTCTGATTCTGAGCATAATTGAGTCAAACCCGTCTGTCACAGCACAGATTACAGTCTAAGGCCTTGTTTACACTGCAGGTCTTGATGCCCAATTCTGATTTGTTGCCGATACCCATATCCAATTCATGTGTTTACACTTGCCATATCATCTGAAACATCCAGGGGCCTGTTTCATAAAACAAGTTTACCAAATAAGCCAGGTTTATTTCAGTTAGTCTGACTTATTGTCAGTTGATTTGGTTCAAAATAAATCAGACTAAATAAGCCTAGCTTATTTGGTAAACTTGTTTTATGAAACAGGCCCCCGATCAGAAAACAGAAAATCCGATCTGCCTGTTTACACGAGAGTCGCATTGGCACATATCTGATTTATATCTGATTTATTTCCACATATGAATGAGGCCTGAAACCGATCGTCTGAGTGACTGTCACTTCAGCTGCTGATTCTACATCGAGAAAAATGAATAAAAATTCAGAATTAAGTATTTGTTGAAGGACAGTATTTCTAGCACAGATGATCAGTTAGAATAGAGTATGTTTATTTCCTCACCTGTGAAACAGTAGCTAGTGAAGATCCAGATGAAGATGGTGATGAAGCTCATGCTTGCTGTTGGTTCAGATTCTCAGAGTTCAAATTCACAGAGCTATAAAACCTCCTGAAGCTTGTGCTGCAATGCAAATCATCTCTATGTAAATCTGTGTATGGGTTACAGTCGATGATGCACATAAAACTAGGGATGTAACGATTCACTCAAGTCACGATGCAATACTATTCACAGTAATTTCACAATAGGATTTTATTTATTTTTTTCTCTCTCTCAAGAAAATGAGATTTATGACAAATTATAAATGAAAATGTGTCTTTTTATTATTGCTTGGACAAAATGCTGCACATTTTTCTTTCTGAAGTTGAAATGTATCAAATAACAAAACTTAAACCAAACCCCAAATCAAATAAATAAATAAATAACACAAATAAAAGAAATTTCTTCATATAAACAAACTAAGGCTTTGTCTGTGCTCTTTCCATTTAAAGGTGACCTATTATGCTCCTTTTTACAAGATGTAAAGTAAGTCTCTGATACCCCCAGAGTGTGTATGTGAAGTTTTAACACAAAATACCCCACAGATAATTTTTTATAGCTTGTTAAAATGGCCACTTTTAGGGTATGAGCCAAAACGCACAGTATTTGTGTTTGTCCCTTTAAATGCAAATGAGCTGGTGCTCCCGGCCCCCTTTTCAGAAGAGAGCGGAGCTTCAAGAGCTCAAGCTCCAGCATACCAGCAACAACAAAACAGGACAATCTCGCGCACTGAAACTCTTAGTAGAGGTGTTCAGCCTTATGTGTCCGAACCGGAATCAGACAATGATTTATCACAAACTTTCTAAGTCCCACTTGTGATTATGAGCTCGACAAATTCAAGCCGTCGACTTCACATTGCTTTCTTATGCAATTTTTAACTACCACATTCCCATTTACGATCATTCTGGTAGCACGTGAAGGCAGCATCAGTGAAAACAGGCAGAGACAATGGTAGCTTTAGCAACATTAGCCTTACAGAGTGCCAAGAAGCTCTTTCAGAAATGCAGTTTGTGAAACAAAATATGACGCGTGATAAATAGTCTGGAGCTGACGTTTGTGCATGAAGTGTTGGTATTGAGCTCTCTTTCATAATCAACCTCTGCGATAACCAGCGTTGAACCGACCCTCGTTTGTGAAGCAGTCTGGTGTGAAATGATCGGCACAAACATATAGCACTTCCTGTATCTGTTTGCCTCTTTAAGAAGAATCGCTTTATGTATCCCCCAATTGTAAGTCGCTTTGGATAAAAGCGTCTGCTAAATGACTAAATGTAAATCTAAATGTAAAGCGATGTTCACTTGCAGAACGCAAGCTTCTAGAGGGCACATAAGTGTGAAGTAATGAATTTAGGTAAAGGGGTGCAGAGCCAGTGGTGGTTTTGTCAATGCCTTGTTGCACCAATTCAAATGACAGTTGCATCAAGAAACAAGTATGTCACTGTGTGAACTCAATGAGAGGGCAAAGGTCATTCCAGAGGTCACAGGTCATCGAAACATCCTTTAAAAGCTGCTTTGATGATTCAAATTGCTTCGAGAAATAAATGATCATTTAGATTCCCAAAATTAAAATAATTTATATTATTATAATAAAAATTTAATTAAAACATGCATTTTCTAAATAATGTAATTTAATTATTTTATTTACTTTTTTTATTTATAAATAATTCCTAGTTTTCATGCATCAAGAGACATTTAGAGATGATGAGGCTGTTTTTGTGAAAGTCAACCGATTATCCATCGCTGATAAACAGAAGAGCTGATGTTGAGTCTCATATCAGTGTGAGTGAGTGTCGTGGAGTTTGAGTGTGCTGGAGGTTTTCATTGTCATGACATCTTTGTTTTCATCCAGTGAACTATAATCATTTATGTTATTCCTTAATAATGTGATTTTATGAGTTTTCAGAGCTTCAGCTCGTTTTTCTTCATTGATAATGAAATTCTAAATGTTAAAAAGGTGCACTGAAATCAAATGTACATTAGTGTGACATTTTGGCACCACTTTGATTTTACTTGAAAATTTTAATCAGTAATTAAACTTACATTTTCAGATTAATGTGTTGAGTAAATGCTGCAGATATTTTCAAACTGGAAATTATGGTTGCTTAATTGAATTTTTGTTAATATTTGATAGGTTAATAATTTATAGTAGACATGCCAGACAAAAGATGTATTTTCTATATTTTAAAACAAACTTTTGTACCTAATTTCCTTTAGCTGTCTTCAAAAATTGTAATTAATGTGTTTATTCATATCTGATCTTTGATGCTTTTAATAAAAGGGACCAACATTGAAGTTGATAATGAAAATGTCTCTTCAAATCAATATATTTCACTAAATTTTGCTCTGCTGATCACAGGCTTTGTAAAAATGAATTCAGGTGACTTGCAGTTTAATGTTGCTAAAATAACCAATAAAAGCTATCACTGTATTAATTGTTTGTAAAACTGTCAGTTCTGAAGGGTGCTGTGACACACAAAACCAAATACTTGAGAGTCACTACAGACTCAAACCAGAAAAACACTAATTAAATTAGTGAATTTACCACAGAGAGGAAAAACAGACAGCAAATAATAATCAAGACTCGATAGAGAAACACATTAAACAGGCTGACAGCAGCTGCTCCATCAAAAGCCTCTCTGCTGCTCATCACAGAACACTGAGATTTAAACTCAGTCATCACTGCAGCCTTCTGATTGGTGCAGAGGAGGAGTAAGAGGTTCATTATCAGCTTGAGATGAAGTAACTCATTTAAAAAGGCTCAAAACATCTTTATGCTGCGTGTGATTTTCAATAACTTTACAGTGTAGCTTAATGTACAAAAACATGATACCGTTATTGTTTGTTTGATTTGAAATCAATGTACACACTCCGTTTTCTCTGATTCTGAGCATAATTGAGTCAAACCCGTCTGTCACAGCACAGATTACAGTCTAAGGCCTTGTTTACACTGCAGGTCTTGATGCCCAATTCTGATTTGTTGCCGATACCCATATCCAATTCATGTGTTTACACTTGCCATATCATCTGAAACATCCAGGGGCCTGTTTCATAAAACAAGTTTACCAAATAAGCCAGGTTTATTTCAGTTAGTCTGACTTATTGTCAGTTGATTTGGTTCAAAATAAATCAGACTAAATAAGCCTAGCTTATTTGGTAAACTTGTTTTATGAACCAGGCCCCCGATCAGAAAACAGAAAATCCGATCTGCCTGTTTACACGAGAGTCGCATTGGCACATATCTGATTTATATCTGATTTATTTCCACATATGAATGAGGCCTGAAACCGATTTCAAAATAGCCGAATGCATGCATTTTTTTCCTGTTTACACGTCATACTAGAACACATCTGATCTGTGTCACATATGCGCAAAAAAATCGGAATTGGGTCACACTTAACTTACAATGTATGCATAGCCTAATAGAGCTGGGGCTGTTTCATAAAACAAGTTTACCAAATAAACCAGGCTTGTTTTTGTTAGTCTGACTTATTGTCCTTTGATTTGGTTCAAAATAAGTCACACTAACTGAAATAAGCCTGGCTTATTTGGTAAACTTGTTTTATGAAACAGCCCCCCGATTTGACTCCTAACTCAGTTTGGAGCTCATGTGTAGTTCTGTGTTTGGTCTCTGTGTGTCAGTAGTGTGTGATAGTGTTTGAGCAGCTGCAGCATCAGTTCATCACTGTGACTCTGACTGACGGAGGTTTTTGTACCACTCTTTATCACTGTGTGAACACATAATCACCCACACAGGATGAAGATGGTGATGAAGCTCATGCTTGCTGTTGGTTCAGATTCTCAGAGTTCAAATTCACAGAGCTATAAAACCTCCTGAAGCTTGTGCTGCAATGCAAATCATCTCTATGTAAATCTGTGTACAAGTTACAGCAGATGATGCACATAAAATTATGTAACGATTCACTCAAGTCACGATGCAATACTATTCACAGTAATTTTACGATACGATTTTCTTTTATTTATGTTTTTCTCTCTCAAGAAAATGAGGTTTAAGACAAACTGTAAATGAAAATGTGTCTTTTTATTATTGCTTGGACAAAATGCTGCACATTTTTCTTTCTGAAATTGAAATATATCAAATAACAAAACTTAAACCAAACCCCAAATCAAATAAATAAATAAATAACAGAAATAAAATAAATCTCTTCATATAAACAAACTAAGGCTTTGCCTGTGCGCTTTCCATTTAAAGGTGACCTATTATGCTCGTTTTTACAAGATGTAAAGTAAGTCTCTGATACCCCCAGAGTGTGTATGTGAAGTTTTAACACAAATTACCTCACAGATAATTTTTTATAGCTTGTTAAAATGGCCACTTTTAGGGTATGAGCCAAAACGCACAGTATTTGTGTTTGTCCCTCTGAGGCTGAGTAAATTTTCACCAAATTTTCATTTTTGGATGAACTATTCCTTTAATATTGCTCAATTGAACAAACCTCTAACAAGACGTTTTAAACGTCGAGGTGTAACTCTACCAGTTATGTGAACAATACCTCAAATCATCCAACTTCTTGAGGAGAGGTGTGCTGGCATTTGACTATTTACATTGAGTTACTTGAGAGACCAGAATATAATAGAGACTTTGAGATGTGCTCTTTTGTCTCGGGCTATTAAGCAGAGTACAGACAAGAATATTTTACTTAACCCACTGGCAGAACATTTTACTTATTTTAAGCAAAATGCTCGTAATTCAGTTTTTTCCCCATCTGGAAACAAGACTAAATATCTTGTCATTTTGCTTATCTAGTAAATGCATCTTAATTTAAGAATTTTTAGTTATTTTGACTAGAAACGAGACAAAAATACTAAGCAAGATAAGCCTTTTTTGCAGTGTGCATAAGAGTGTAATGTAAAAGCTCCACATTTCCCAAACTCTTCCCAGTGTATGAATGGCAAACATATTAAAACGCTCTTCTTTTGCTCCTGACAGGCTCTATTGACGTGACGGTGGACACTGTGCAGGAGCTGATGGTGGCTGCAGACATGCTGCAGTTGAGTGAGGTGGTGGATATATGTGGAGAATTCCTGCGGGCTCATATGGACCCATCCAACTGTGTGGGGATCTATCGCTTTTTGGAGCAGATCGCCTGTATGGAGCTGCTACAGTTCACTGAAGACTACATCCATGTCCACTTTCTAGAGGTGGGTTCACAGTTTTCCGTTTCAAATATTCTCAGCATTGAGTTTTTGCTTCTTTTAACCCTGATTCACGGATTTAAATGTGTCATGCGTTGATCTTTTGACATATAAGAGGCCTTTGTACCATTAAAACATCTTGTACGTTTCATAACTTAAAGATGAGTGTATATGTGAAGTTTTAACTCAAAATACACCACAGATAATTTTTTATAGCTTGTTAAAATGGCCACTTTTAGGGTATGAGCCAAAACGCACAGTATTTGTGTTTGTCCCTTTAAATGCAAATGAGCTGGTGCTCCTGGCCCCCTTTTCAGAAGAGAGCGGAGCTTCAAGAGCTCAAGCTCCAGCATACCAGCAACAACAAAACAGGACAATCTCACGCACTGAAAATGTCAGAAACTCTCAGTAGCGGTGTTCAGCCTTGTGTTTAAACCAGAATCAGTTTAAAAGTCAGTCATCTGGTTGTGCTGTGCATAATAAATGCACGTTTATGAATATTATGAGCTCGACAAATTCAAGCGGTCGACTTCACATTGCTTTCATATGCAATTTTTAACTACCACATTCCCATTTACGATCATTCTGGTAGCACGTGAAGGCAGCATCAGTGAAAACAGGCAGAGACAATGGTAGCTTTAGTAACATTAGCCTTACAGAGTGCCAAGAAGCTCTTTCAGAAATGCAGTTTGTGAAACAAAATATGACGCGTGATAAATAGTCTGGAGCTGACGTTTGTGCATGAAGTGTTGGTATTGAGCTCTCTTTCATAATCAACCTCTGCGATAACCAGCGTTGAACCGACCCTCGTTTGTGAAGCAGTCTGGTGTGAAATGATCGGCACAAACATATAGCACTTCCTGTATCTGTTTGCCTCTTTAAGAAGAATCGCTTTATGTATCCCCCAATTGTAAGTCGCTTTGGATAAAAGCGTCTGCTAAATGACTAAATGTAAATCTAAATGTAAAGCGATGTTCACTTGCAGAACGCAAGCTTCTAGAGGGCACATAAGTGTGAAGTAATGAATTTAGGTAAAGGGGTGCAGAGCCAGTGGTGGTTTTGTCAATGCCTTGTTGCACCAATTCAAATGACAGTTGCATCAAGAAACAAGTATGTCACTGTGTGAACTCAATGAGAGGGCAAAGGTCATTCCAGAGGTCACAGGTCATCGAAACATCCTTTAAAAGCTGCTTTGATGATTCAAATTGCTTCGAGAAATAAATGATCATTTAGATTCCCAAAATTAAAATAATTTATATTATTATAATAAAAATTTAATTAAAACATGCATTTTCTAAATAATGTAATTTAATTATTTTATTTACTTTTTTTATTTATAAATAATTCCTAGTTTTCATGCATCAAGAGACATTTAGAGATGATGAGGCTGTTTTTGTGAAAGTCAACCGATTATCCATCGCTGATAAACAGAAGAGCTGATGTTGAGTCTCATATCAGTGTGAGTGAGTGTCGTGGAGTTTGAGTGTGCTGGAGGTTTTCATTGTCATGACATCTTTGTTTTCATCCAGTGAACTATAATCATTTATGTTATTCCTTAATAATGTGATTTTATGAGTTTTCAGAGCTTCAGCTCGTGTTTCTTCATTGATAATGAAATTCTAAATGTTAAAAAGGTGCACTGAAATCAAATGTACATTAGTTTGACATTTTGGCACCACTTTGATTTTACTTGAAAATTTTAATCAGTAATTAAACTTACATTTTCAGATTAATGTGTTGAGTAAATGCTGCAGATATTTTCAAACTGGAAATTATGGTTGCTTAATTGAATTTTTGTTAATATTTGATAGGTTAATAATTTATAGTAGACATGCCAGACAAAAGATGTATTTTCTATATTTTAAAACAAACTTTTGTACCTAATTTCCTTTTGCTGTCTTCAAAAATTGTAATTAATGTGTTTATTCATATCTGATCTTTGATGCTTTTAATAAAAGGGACCAACATTGAAGTTGATAATGAAAATGTCTCTTCAAATCAATATATTTCACTAAACTTTGCTCTGCTGATCACAGGCTTTGTAAAAATTAATTCAGGTGACTTGCAGTTTAATGTTGCTAAAATAACCAATAAAAGCTATCACTGTATTAATTGTTTGTATATTTTTCTGAAGCTGAAAGGAGAGAAATGCTTTCTTCTTCACTGAGTTGATTGTTGTGTGTTTGTCAGGCGTCACTCGTCCTAAAGTGAGCGTCCTGCCGCCCTCCAGTGCAGAGATCTCCTCAAAGAAGACAGCGACACTGGTGTGTGTGGCCAGCAAGGGCTTCCCGTCAGACTGGAGCCTGAGCTGGAAGGTGGACGGGAGCAGCAGGTCTCAGGAGAGCAGCGCTGGGCTCCTGGAGAAGGACGGTCTGTACAGCTGGAGCAGCAGCCTGACTCTCTCTGAGCAGGAGTGGATGGAGAGCGTCTCAGTGAGCTGTGAGGCCACACGGAGCGGCCAGCCTGCGCTCACTGGACACGTGACGAGACAGCAGTGTTCAGAGTAGATCTGCTGCTCTTCTCACTCATGTCTCACATGGAGACTAACAGCACATGAGCGACTCCTTCATTCTCCACATCCAGCTTCAGTCGCTCGCATCTGCATCTGCTCTGCTTTGTGTGCTTCATACAAGACTATATGTGTGATTTGATTAAAATTCAGTCATTAAATAAAATATAATTGTCACTCTGTGTCCCTTTTTTGTCATTCTTGTTTCAGGTCTTTCATTGAATCAGGGGTTTAGCTCACGTATTATAAATAAACTTAAGTCAGTGGACCATGAAAACACCTGCATATACAGTACATGATGGAACAACATCTTCTCTATTCTCAGAGGAACACAATCACAAATGCAAATATGAGTTTAACATTCAGTTTCACAGTTTGACTCGTTATTCTGTGAAATGAGTTTGACTAATAAAGAGAAAAGCTTGCCATCATCTAATAATTTATAAAAAATGTGTAAAAACTAAATTAAACCAAAATAATATTATTAATGTATAACAATTATACATTCTATTAGTCTGTGCAGTCTTGTGGACAATAATTAAACAAGAAAATATATAAAACAAAAAAACATAAAGTACACAGAAATATAGACTTATATTTGAGAAAAATTAAACGTGCTGTGTCTCCCCCTGTGGTCAGGAAAAGTCTTTTTCGCTAACTTATTTCTTTGGAAAGCTTGTTAGTGCTTTCTGAATGAATCATATCATTAGTGAATCAACTGAACTCAACTGTCGTAACGACATAACCTGCAGAAGGAATCACTTAACGAATCAGTGAAGGATTCTGAACGAATTTCCTCAGTGAACAGATTCGAAAGGGAGTCGAGTCACCGAGATGAATCAAAACAGTCATGAGTGTTATTCAAAATCTCAAATCAGAGTTTGTTTAATCAGAAATGTCACTTTGCTCACAGCTAATTTGTTTGATATGTGTTTACAATAACGCGCTAGGAGATTCAGGAGATTTTAAGACTTAAATGTCGGTGTGTTCCTCACACATGCCTTCAGAAAGTAATTTACTGAACCCTTTTCAGTTCTGGACCATGGCAGTTGTTAGTCACGTAACCAGTGGCGTTTTTATTGAAAAGGAGCAGCTTGGACATTCTGCTAAACATATTTTGTGTTCCACAGAAGAAAGTACATCATATATATGGGTCTGGAGCAACATGAGGGTGAGTAAATAAATACAAAACTTACATTTTTCAGAATTGGGTTTCCTATGCATATCATAGGCCCTATATTATCTAGATCAGAGTTTTAGATTTACATGTTAGCATAGTGACTCTCTGGGTTTGCTGTTGTTAAATACAATAATAAATAAATATGCGGGATCTAAATATGAGAAGATTTAATTCGATAACAACAAAAACAACATCACATAGCACTGCAATGAAAGTACAAAGTTATTTTAATAAATCACTTCTAATATTATTATGACTTTTCCATGCAGAATATTTTCCTGGATCAACAACTTTTATTTGCTTCTGGACCAATATTTCTGTAAGGTAAACAGTCTTAATCTTTAACTAGAGGAAACTGATGATAACCTTAAAGGGGTCATATGATGCGATTTAAAT